GAAATGGAAATGCGCAGTATAAATGCTATTTATTATTATTATTATTATTATAATTATATTAACTCCATAGGTCTTCTGTGATTAAATTCCTGCATGTGGTTGAACGTACATTTTGTCAGCTTTACTTCTCTTTTCATATTGAATTTTAATAAGAGTAATAATTTATTTTTTTTTAATGTACACCCTCATGTGTTTTTACGGCCTTATACAACCAAGAAAAATTTCCCTTTGGGACAATATAGTATTATCTTATCGTATCTACAAAACGGGCCAACGTCAAGTAATGAGGGTAGAGCACTTCATTAGCACCAAATATCGTCTTATACAGTTACAAGAAAAATTCGACAGAACCATTAAGAAAGCCAGCAAGATCTCTGGATATTATATAACTAAGATTGATCAAATTATGTATAACACCTCAAGTATAAAAAAGATACAAAGCATTATAAACGACCCACCACACACCCTTTCCACGCAAAATGTCAGATCATGCAGCGACAGATTAGTATCTCTAAAAACAAAGAAAGGGGCTATTGTTAGAATAAGCATAGGCCCTATTGCTCTTTAAATTCGAGTACCTGGTATGTATGATCTATATAACTCTAAAGGTCTGGTAATTAAATTCTTGAATGTGGTTGAATGGTGTATCTGATGTGATATGTAGCCTACATTTTGTCAGCTTTACTTCTCTTTTCATTGAATTTTAATAAGAGTAAAATATTATAATCTAAATGTTTATTTACAACTGCATGTGTTTTTACGGTCCTGTACAGCAAAGAAAAATTTCCCTCTGGTATAATAAAGTATTATCTTATCTTATCTCTTATCTTACAGTGACAGTAGGCCCTACATGTACTTTCAATACAAAGAAGCTTAACTCAAACGCAAATCAATTTTGGTCCCACCATGGGAATAGTTTATTTGTATTTTCTTGTATGACTCTTTTTATCAATAAAACAAATGCCAAAACACTGGAGCCTCTGGCAGGGAATACATGGTATGTATTATTATGTAGCTGTATGAATGGGTCCCAGAACGCTTCAATATCTTAACACCTTATTCATGTCATTTTTTCTTAATGTAGAGATACGTAGTGCATGTCATTGTATTCTACTATCTAGTCTTTCAGTGTGCCATTAGTGCGAACATATAGACTGCAATGTAAAAACCCGGAATTAATGTATTACAAATACATGTTGTGAAGTGTTGGAAAGAGCTGGAATTGAAGGTATCAATACAACCATGAAAAGGAGAAGGTGGAGATACGTAGGACGTGTTCTAAGAATGCCAGAGACAAGATTAAATTGCCTTTTCAGACATGGCATGGAAAACTAATCGGAAAAAGAAAACAAGGAAGACCAACTGAAAGCTATAGAGGCACAATAAGGGATGATCCAATCGCCCAGGGCCTGGATTTGCCGAAATTGGAGGACGTGACTAATGACCAGGGACAGACAAGCGTGGCGTCGACTGGTCTCCGACTTATGTAACTGACGGTACAGGGAGAGAGTAAAGTAATTAATAGTAAATTGATTCATTCCATCTCAAAGAGGGTTGCCCTTTAATTAATCCTCGGTGAATTCCTCTTCCTCCTCACAGTCTAGGTCCTCTGGGGGTTCGTCGGTCCCGGGATTGGTGAGCGGTTCAGAAATGTCCCATGGATGTTTTGATGAGCTGGGTTGTCTGCTTGGAGTTTCAAATAAGAACGAATGTCGACTGGAGGAGTCTTGGAAGTTTGTCGATTGGCTGCTAGTAGTGCTCCTTCCAGAAGTGTATTCCTGGCTGTTGGACCCAGAGAAGTAAGGGTAATGGCTAGGAGAGTAAGGCTGGCTGGTGGTAGAGCCGTGACGGTAACGGTTAGAACTGGAAGTGTAAGGCTTTTTGCTGATAGAGTAGTGAGGATAACGGCTAGAACTGGAAATGTAAGACTCGCTGGTGGTAGAGTCGAGGGGGTAACGGTTAGAACTGTAAAAGTCAGACTGGCTGCTGGTAGAGTAGTGAGGATAACGGCTAGAACTGGAAGTGTAAGGCTCGCTGGTGGTAGAGTCGAGGGGGTAACGTTTAGAACTGTAAAAGTCAGACTGGCTGCTGGTAGAGTAGTGAGGATAACGGCTAGAAAAGTCAGGCCGGCTGCTGGTAGAGTAGTGAGGATAACGGCTAGAAAAGTCAGGCTGGCTGGTGGTAGAGTAGTGAGGATAACGGCTAGAGAAGTCAGGCTGGCAACTGATTCCAGAGAAGTCAGGGCAACGGCTCGAATCGTAAGGGTGGCTGCTAGAGCTTTTGTAGTAAGGGTAAAGGCTAGAAGTGTAAAGCTGGTGGGAGGTGTCATGGTAGTAAGGGTAATGGCTGGAAGTGTAAGACTGATTGTTGGTATGCCTGTAGTAAGGGTAATGGCTGGAAGTATAAGGCTGATTGCTGGTATGCCTGTAGTAAGGGTAATGGCTGGAAGTGTAAGGCTGATTGCTGGTATGCCTGTAGTAAGGGTAATGGCTGGAAGTATAAGGCTGATTGCTGGTATGCCTGTAGTAAGGATAATGGCTGGAAGTGTAAGGCTGATTGCTGGTACGACTGTTGTAAGGATAATGGCTGGAAGTGTAAGGCTGATTGCTGGTACGACTGTAGTAAGGATAATGGCTGGAAGTGTAAGGCTGATTGCTGGTATGCCCGAAGTAAGGGTAACGGCTAGAAGTGTAAGGGTGACTTCTGGTGCCTTTGCGGTAGAGGTAAATACCAGAAGTTTGAGGCTTACTGATAGTATCCCTGTGGTAAGGGTGAGGGCTAGAAGTGTGGGGATGGTTGCTGGAGCTAATGTAGTAAGGGTATCGAATTGAAGAGGCAGTCTGGCTGCCAAAGTAGAAAGGGTAGATCGAAGGAGAGGTCAGACTCTGATAAAGATAAGATTTTCTTTTCAATTTCAAGCGCTGTGGGGTGTCTTGGTATCGGCTGGCTGGCTCAACCGGCAGGATATCTTGTCGGCTCTCTGCAAGCTCAGCAGCGGAATATACTGCAAAACAGAATGAAGAAAATCCATGCTGAAAACTAGAACTAGAAACCAGAGAAAAACATTCTAATATTATGCGCGGCTTTCGCAACATCGCAAACCTCCACTTGATTTAGAAGGCTAATAAATTCAATTAAGTTTAAGTCGCGCACAAACACACACACACACACACACGCGCGTGCGCATACATACATACACAGACACACACACACACACACACACACACACACACACACACACACACACACACACACACACAAACATACGATTGTGTATGTGTTTTGGAGGCTTGCTTGAGTGACTCTGGATTTTCGTAATAACACAAACAAACAAACAAACAAACAAACAAACAAACAGCACTGTGGACATTGTGTGTTCGGGGTTGGGTTTTTTTTCTTCAGAACAGACCAAGGATAGAACCCTAAAAAAAAGATGGGGTGGGGTGGGGTGGAGGTGGTATGACCAAGTGAGACACATTGACACAACTCCGGCTAGTGGTCCCTGTCACGGGTTACTATATATAGCTTGTTCACTTTCGTCTGACCGCCTTTAAAAAATTCTAGCTCATTGAAGAATTTAACTTATGCCCACAAAACTTTGCGTGGCACTTCTGCAGGCCAGCGACCAAACTTTTTCTTTTTTTAATCTCCCAGTAATAAAAAGTTTTGTATTTGGGCACTATATCAAAAACCGCTCTTTGGATGCATACACAGAATCACTAAAATAAATGACTATTTGCGAAAACATAGAGAACGCGGATTTCAGAGACTGACTCTAAAAGTGCCGATGAGAGCTCTCGTGGCCTAGAGGTTAAGGTGTTCACCTCTCATTCAATAGCTCCCGGATTCGAACCAGGATAGGGACGAAAAAATTTCTTCTCTTAATTGTCCCCGTTCACCTCACTTCCTGCTCTCTCACAATGTTTTGTCGTCTGCTTTCGTCTCCACTTTCTGCCCCCATCCCTTCACCTCCTTTGCCCCCCTCCTTGGGCTTATGACTCTTTCTACAGCCCTTCGAATGCTACGCCTTGGTTCTTTCTTACTGCTGTCTTTCAGCCACATCTCTGATCTTCTGGTAGGAAAGATCTACACCTAGCCTTCTCGGACAAGGGCGAAAAATCTCAGAGGTCCCGTGAGCAAGTTGCTGGTGGTCCAAAATCGATGAGTAGGCTTCGGCCGCCACTCGGGCAAAATTCAAAATTTCCTACCAACTGAAAATATTTTGTGTGTCCCGCGCGCTCATATGATCTTGCCCTATGCAGTTGCGAGCGCTGTAGAACACTTACAAAAAAAATGCCTATAGGTATAAAAATTCCCTTAAGATTTCAAACTTGCCCCACATAGACTGTCTCACGTTCCAGACAGGTTTTTTTTATAGTTCTTCTGTAGGCTACTTCCTAGTACCACTGGAGTAAGCTTACGGAGGGTTGTTGGCTTGGGTTTGACTGTTTAATATCTTACACTCCCTTTGACACAGTGAGGTCACGTCAGGCTGCTGGGCAGTCTTCAATTTTGTCTGTGCAGGGCCAAAGATTGGAACTTAGGATACCGTATTTCAAAATACAGTATACATATTTATTTATTTCTTAAATATTATTTTTCTGATTTTTTTATCTTTCACGCGTGACTTGAAGTCGCAATTTCGCAACTTTTAAATAAAGTGGCGAAATCAAGTCCTTCAGGAAATAATACGTTAAATGGGGCATCAAAAACTAGTTGGGGGCGCTAGGCTACCAGTACTGCATTGAGACATATGCCACTGGGCGACTCTGAGGCTCAGAGGGCGAATTCAAAACGTAGGCTACGCGAAAAAAAGAAATGGGCAAAGCCCGGGAGGGTTAGAGGGTTAGGGGGGGGGGGACATTTTAAAAAAAAATCAAAAACAAACAGACAAACAAAAGCGGCGCACAGTCGACGTCTGCACGGGAAATCAAACTTGTATCGTTTGTTTGCAATTGTGAATTGCCTAGTACGGGGTGCCCACTACGGCTGGATCGGGCCGATCGCCCGACTCG